TACGGTAAGGAGCTCGGGAAATAGGTGCGGTGCCTGACTGCAACTTTATGCAAAACTCGACCTCTCTCACTGGAGGTAATCCTGGTATGTCCTGGAAGACATCCTGGTAATCTGAGAATACTCGCATCTCACTCAAATCTACGCTTCGATCTCATAATATCACCTCCTCTACGTACGCTAGAAATGACTCCACAAACTGGTTGCCTCTGGAGGTAGCTACCACTAACTCTGATCCATTATATGCTCTCAAACTAACTATTTTCGCAAAACAATCGATACTCACATGGTAGGAAGATAGCTAATCCATACCAAGAATCACATCGAATTCAAACATATACAACACAATCAAATCAATCGCGAACTCAGAATCATCCAAGCTGACGATGCATCTCCTACAAACACTCTCTAACAGAGACATCTCTCCCAACGGAGTAGATACAGATAATGGGAAATCTAACGGCTGAGCTACAAGCCGAAGTCTAATCGAAAAATCATAAGAGATAAAAGAATGTGAAGCGCCTGAATCAAAAAGAATACGTGCTGGAAAAGGAATTCACACGGATGTACCTTCCACTACAGCTCCGCTCGCGCCATGATCACGAGGTACCACTGCATACACTCTACCGGTCTGCTACTCTGTATCGCCTAGAGTGAATGGTGCCATCTGCCTCTGCTGGGTCTCCTGGACTGCTCGAACTTGTCCCTCAATCCTCGGGACTGCTGGAATTGCCTCAATCCTCAGCTGCTGGCCCTGACCGCGTCCCTGAGCACGGTTTGCTATTGCTGTTGTGTCCTGCCCTGCTGGCCTCCTGCGGGTGCGTTGTGGCACTCAGCCGCTTGGTGCCCAATCTTATTATAATTATAACACGCTCCCTAGAATCGGTGTTGCTGCTACGCTCTCTGGTCCTGTTGATGGACCTTCTTATGGGGACTCTGCTGATGTGGACCCTTACCCTGCTGGTGGGGTCCTTCTGAGCCTCCAAATAGAATTTCCTTTTCCTTTGTCCTCGGACTGCCCTGACTTACTATTGTCCTTGCCCTTGTTCAATATAGTTGTATCCGTCTCCTGAGCCATAGCAGCATCTGCCACCTCTCGAACTGAACGAAACCTCCGAGATACTATGTACCGACGCAACCCCGGATGAAGTCCCATCAAGAACATCTGAGCCTAACGCTCCTCTGTGTGCCACATACCGGTGAACCTAAGCAATGACATGAACTTACTCTCAAAGTCCATGACAGACATATCTCCCTGCTCTAGACGAGCCAGCTCTAACTCTTTTCCGGCTTTCGCTGTAGCCAAAACATACTGCTCATCAAAAAGATATATAAAGGTCTCCCACGAAGCCGTCATCCTCTTCTCTAGGGTGAAGCGAAGTTAATACCATCCTCCTGCATCGCCCTTGAGGCTGAAAGCCGCTAGCCTCTGCTTCTGAACAGTGTTGACATTCAGCATGTCCAATATGTTGCTCACATCTTCTTTCCATTTATGCGCGGCAATAGAATCCGTCGAACCGTGGAACTTTGGTGCTTTCAACTTCTGACACCTCTCAACTAAACGAAGCCAAGCCTCCTGATCATCTGTTCTGTTACCAACTGGTGGTGTCGGTGGGACAACTGGTGCCCTTTCTGGTATTTCCTTTCGAATAGATGATTCCTGAACAGGTGCCTCTTCATGAACGGAAGGCTCTTGACGAACCTGGGCTGCTAACTGCTCCTCAATAGCCGCCATACGAGCTGCCAATGGTGCTATGAGATCCACTAGGTACTGCGGAGCCTGTTGTGGCTCGGGCTCCCTATCTTCCTACTCAACTCCCTGAGCACGAGAAACTCGGTGTCCACGACCTCTTCCTGACATCTATAATTCTAAAATAGAGCTTATCACATAGTAAATTGGATCTCAAGCATGAAGGATATAACATATACCAATAAGTAAATCGTATCACGTATATCTCATATCATGCTTTATTATTCAAAGCAAATAGATCATCATTAAAAAAATAATAGATTTTCCGCGTACATATATAGTACGTCCTCACTCATGCTAAGGATTCCTAGTGGACTGTATACATGATCCCTAGGAAACTCTATCCTAAACTCCACAATATGACATAGGAATGATCCTAAGGATATTAGAACTAGAGCTCTGATACTAACTGTGATGCCCCAGGGTTCACACAAGACTACAGTCCCAGGTAAAACCCGGATTGTCAAACCCGCTAAGCACCAAACACTATGCTACGACATGTTTCACCATCACAATCGTTATCTCTCTAGTGAAAATAATAAATAAATGAAGGTACAGACAGACAAAACTAGAAATAGAACAACACCGAATATAAACAGAAGAAGCACAAGAAATATTAATAATGAGCCCAACTGGAATGAAATAGATGTATCTCTGAGTCTGAACTAAATTTCAAATACAATGAGTCAAATAAATAAAGTCTTACAATAGCTCTCAACTCTATAAAATAAAATACCAATCTAGAGTCTGAAAATAATCAACTACATATAGAGTTCTGCAATAACTACAAAATGTAATACATAGCTACACGGACAACTAAGATGTCCCATCAACCTATGACTCTCAGTGCGCCGGACTCGCTGCCTGAAAAGGGGGGAAAACAACGAGCGTCAAAGCGCTAGCGAGATCATCACTACCTCTCCCCAGGGGAAAGGGTAGGAGTGTATAGAAAATAGAGTCAGTACATACATATATCAAATCATTCATATAACTCTCCATGAATGAAAAAATAAATAATCAATGATAACTACCCCAATCTCCAACATAAAAAATAATCATCTCATCTCGAACTACGTCTGAGTGATTTGCTCTAACATAAGAAGATATCAACAATTGCTAAAACAAAAATATTTGTCGTTCATAACGGGTGTATCAAAATCTCAAAAAAAATACTCTACTCGCGGGCAATCTATCATGAAAGTAAAGCTTACAACTGATCAATTATCTATGTGTGCATCATCTTGTGGTATAGCGATACTCTCGTAATGCTCTTACTCAATCGCTCTACGGCAATAGGTTTTATTATCTCTCTATTCCGGATACGTGTAATAACGATACTTTTGTAATACTCTTACTTAATCGTTCTGCGGCAAATAGGTTTCATCTCCCTATTTTCGGATACGTATAGAACAACATTATTCATATGTGCTTATCAAATTAACTCATGTCGAAAGTGTGTCAATCTAACACAATCTAGCATACATGCATAAAATCTCGGTGTGCGTGACCACATCTGAAGTTCACCATCATCCCATGTGTTTAACAATCACTAATATCATAGTCTATCATCATAAGCTCGAGAAATCCATTCAACATCCAATTCCAACCCTTATAAACATGCACAACCAAAAACAAACTGGCGGTCGACCGTGGCGGTTGACCGTGATGGGCTCTAGAGACTACCCAGGTCTCTGTCCTGCATGCGGTCAACCGTAGCGGTCGACCGTGAATCCTGATTCCAGATTCCTAATTTTTTTGTGTATGTCATGTTCATGTCGTGTTTTTGTGATTCAAACATGATTAAATCTTCATGAAACTTGTATGCAAACATGTCACAGCAGATATGAACATCTGGAAACAACTCAATAACTATAAACATGATTTTATGCATTAGATTTGTATTCAAAACCATAAAAACATGCATAAAAGCTCAAAACAACGAATCAAACTTCTTTCTTTAGATTAACCATGTTTTAAAATCATCTTCAGGTCTTAAATACTTCTGTAAAAATCGTTCTCTACCTTTTTAGCATAGAAAGACCTAGTCTCTTTACATATAATACAAAAGAAGTTGACTTTATTCATAAACTAGTCATTTAGACTCTACAAAACATGTTTAAAACTCTTTAAAAAACATTTTGAAAACTAGGAGGGGGATTAGCAGAGATGATACTCGCTTGGGGTTGTAGGAAAACGTGTTAGACGCAACGTCGAAGGAGATCTCCACTCCAAAAGCCAAAAATCACCCGAAAATCCACTTGAAAGCCTTCAATCTTCTCCAAGAAATCAAACTAGGGTTTGGGGGGTTTTGGTGGCTGTTAGGGTTCTTAGGAAAACTCGATTGACCGTGGCGGTCGACCGGGCTGCGGTCGACCGCGGCGGTCGACCGCACCAGACATTTCCAGCTTTCATATGTTTGGCCATTTGTGCATGTTTCAACTCTTTTCTCTCTCATGTATGAACTCGTTCATACTCAAAACACATGGTATTATACTCATATACCATTAAATGATATTTATCATACTAAATATCCACATATCATAATTTATCACACATTAATTATATTATTCATAAATTATCGGGGTTTTACAGGAGAGCAACAACCTACATCATAGACGCAAAGAGCTTCACCAAATCATCCATTGCCTCCATGATTGAAGAGATCAAAAGCTCTAGATTCAGATATAGTGTAGTTCGAGTTTAAGATTCGATCTAGGTTTTCGCAAATTCGGATCCGGCTATATGGAGCTCAATTTGTCCCTTATGAAACACTAGAAATCGAGAGAGAACAAGGTGGAGGCGGGAGAAGCAGCAAGCAGTATTCTTTAGCGTGGAGGAGGAGATGGTGATTGTAAACTAGGTGAAAGAGAAAGGATTATGGGGCTGTGTACGACTTCCCCTTTTCCCCAACTTTCAGCCAAATTCAGGCCTTTTGAGAAGGAAAACGAGAGCCTGTGACAAGGCAACTCAATTTTTTCCCACTTTCCCCTTTTTGTTTAGCAATCTAAATATCAAAAACTGAAGGAAAATTATATTTTTTTTAGTACTTCTCTATAATGTCAGTTTTTCATGGTACATTTCCTGCATTTTTTAGACCAACCAAACAGCCCTTGAATGGAATCCTTCTTCTCCTTCCGATAGGTAAAAAGTCTTCTTCGGAAATTTGAAATCAACTTTACTGCTAAAATATAAAAAAGCCGAGGTCCTTCTTATAAAACACCATATATAATATAAAAATTTCT